TTTGTAGAATTCTTCTATTTCATCTTCACTGGCTTTAGTGGTTGGTGCATAAATTTGAATAATAGTGGTATTAACTGGGCTTCCCTGTAGGCGCATGGAAATTAGCCTATCACATACAGCATTGTACCTCATGACTGAGCTGGATATGTTCTTTTTGACGATGAATGCAACACCATTCCTTTTCAATTTGTCATTCCCGGCATAGTAAACCATGTGGTTGTCAGATTCAAAATGGCCAATACCAGTCCATTTCAGCTCACTAATGCCTAAGATATCAATGTTTATACGTTCCATTTCATTTTTGACAACTTCCAATCTTCCCAGATTCATACTTCGTACATTCCATGTTCCTATTTTAAATGGATGTTTACAGCTGTTTCTCTTCATTTTGAGTTGTGCCCCATCAGCAAATGAAGATTCTATGGACTTTTCTCCCATGAGCTTAACTCCATTCACGTCATCACGGTCAGCTCTACTTTGGGGAGCCAGCTCTTCCCCTGTCTCATTTTGAGTGCCTTCCAACCTGAGAGGCTCATTTTCTGGCACTGTTACCTAACAGTGTTTCTCTGCTATTTATAAGGTTTTCAGTGACTAAATATTCAGAAGTAGTTCATCACTCTTTCTTCCTACTCTTTTTGTCTGGAAGCTTATCTGAAACCTGTCCATCATGGGTGACCCTGCTGGTTATTTAAAGTTCCGGTGGAATAGCCCTCAGAATCACAGCAACTCACAAGCCACCACAGTACGACAGATAGATAAATGGTGGCCGTTTGGTTTTATGTCGAAACTGTCACTTGAAATTTTGAGGAGATCTGTGCACATGCGTAGTAGAACCCTCCAGGGGTGAGGGTGGGATATCCATTTGCTCAGGTATCCCTTTTAGTTACCAGAATTGAGGTGCGCACTCAGGGAGAGACCAATGAACAATGGACAGATACACAAAAAAAAAAAAAAGAAGAAGAAGAATGTCCACACCTGTATTTCCTTGAATCTGTCAGGTATTCGTGGCTGTTCTGATCCTTCTCCCAATTGTTCGCTCCCAAGATGGTGGCTCCAGGAATAGCTGATTGTATTGAATTAGAAAGCAATGGATTTCTTGATTCTCGTACAAATTCCCCTAGCTGTAAGCTTTCCAATCTTCTAACTATTCCCTTATATGTGGTTCAGAGTTCTAGCACCATCCCCTGAGCCTGCTTTGCCCGGTATTCTGTAGTGGTGTTTACGGAGCTCCTCACTGCACATCTACCCTATCCGCCATCTTGATTGTATCCTTAAGAGTGTTTTCATAAAGGTGTAAGACAACATTTCTCACGTTGCTTCTAAAACACTGGTATCTAGGACATGCTTTGTGAAACAGAATTTGGTTTTCAGATATGTTTTTTAAATGCTACACACTAAATCTGCATGCTTTTCTCAACAGACTAGTATATTCAAGTTTCTAAGCAACTCTGTAACAGTGAAGCCTTTTTAATTCAGTATATTGAAAACTTTCTGACCAACTGTTTCCCTTCCTCTCATTTTTTGTATCCTGTAGAACTAATTGTCTGAGATATTTTCTGAGAACTGCTTACCTGAACATAAGTGGTGAGGTAGGAATTAGCAATTTATGCAAGGTGATGACCTGAACTTACCTAGAATTGGGGCGACCACTCTGGGAAGTAATAAGGAAAGAGTATAAGGGAAGGACAATTTTTTCCACAGTAGGCTAGGGATTTTTCTTTTGGCATAATTGCAGTAAGTTGTCATTATTCATTATAAATATGAAAATGACTTTGAGAAGTGAGAAGTAACCGTTAGGACTATGTTTGTTGTTAAGTGCCGTGGAGCCGGGTCCTACTCATAGCGACCCTACATAGGGTTTCTGAGGCTGGAAATCTTTACAGGAGCAGAAAACCTCTTTCTCCCTTGGAATGGCTGGTGGACTTGAACTGCTGACCATGAGGCTTGTAGTTTAGTGCTTATTTTACAGAGCCACAGCACTCCCCAGGTGTATGGTGGTGGTGGTAGTCATGTGCCACTGCGTCAGTTCTGACTCATAGTGACCCTTTATAGGGTTTCTGATGTTGTAAATCTTTGCGGAAGCAGAAAACCTCATTTTTCTCCCATGGAGCAACTGGTAGATTCGAACTGCTGACTTTGGGGTTACCACTACACTACCAGAGTTCCTTTACTAAATCAGGAAAGGGATTTGCACATTTTAATCCCAAACTAAATGGCCTGTATACTTTTGGATGCATATGTAGACTCTTAATAGAGTTCCTCAATAGTACATGCAGATGGTTAATGTACTCTACTGCTTACTGTAAGATTGATGCTTGAGTCCATCCGGAGGCACTGCAAAAGAAAGGCTTGGTGATACTTCCAGAAATCAGCCATCCAAATCATTATGGAACACAGTTCTACTTTGATACACATGAGTCAGTATGAAACAGCGTTGACTCTGTGGCAACTGTTTATTGTTGTTGTTTTTAAGAGTACTTATAAAACAAGATCTATTATTGGTGAGTGAAAAAATATGTAAGCTTTTATATGTAAATTTAAAAATTTAAATTTCATTTTATTTTTTGCTCTAATTTCTCCCAGTAGAATAAAATCTAATATGATTTTATCTTCCATCTGTAAAGACTCCACATAGAAATCACTAATTTAAAGTAAATTCATAGGGAAACTACAGTCATGTCAAAAATTTTTCTAGGAATAATTAGATTGTCCTTTTTAAAGTAATCCTTGTTTTTTAAGGAGTCCTGGTGTGGCACTGTGGGCTAATATGTCAGACTGCAAACTTGTTTGAACTGCAAGGTCGTGGTTCAAGCTCACTAGCTGCTCCTCGGTCACTTTGGGTCAGAATCGACTCGATGGCACTTAGCAACAACAACAACAACAAGACAAGTGGGCAACTTTTAGTGACTCAGTTTATTTGGGAGGCTTTTAGGCAGAAACTACTTGGCACTACCAAAACAAGACTTACGTATGTTATAATGCAATTAATTTATAAATCAAGAAATTCTTTCATACTTCCATCATTTTATAATTAGGCCTTGAGAATTATAGAATATTTATACTTTAAGGTAAAACAGAAAACCTAGTTTTGTCACTCATTTATCCTAAGAAATGTTCTGGATTGAATTATGCCCCCTGAAAATATGTGTTATAAATTCTGACCTCAATGTCTGTGGTTATAATCCCATTTAGAATTTGATTTTATTTTGTTAATGAAACAGGATTAATGTGTATATCTTGAATCAGTCTCTTTTGAGATATCTGTCATTAAACATGTGAGGAGAGGTGGCGTAAGACAGATGCCAATACACTTGCTGAGCTCCTAGGAATCAGGAAACAGAGCTGAAGAGATAAAGACCTTCTTCTAAAGCAACAGAGAGGGCCTTCCGCTACAGCCAGCACTCTGAATTCAGATTTCTGGCGCTGTGGGTTAATGCGTCAGAGTGCAAAGCCATTTGAGCTGCAAGGTCAGCAGTTCAAGCTCACCACCTGCTCCTTGGGAACCCTGTACAGGGTCACCATGGGTTGGAATTGACTCGACAGCACTTAACAACAACAACAAACTGTGAGAAAACAAATTTCTGTTTGTTAAAACACTATTCTTTTGGTACTTCTGTTATACTAGATGAGGTAACTAAGACAAGAGCACTTAAAATAATTATCAAGGAGACTCATAAGATGGCAAACAGTTGTTTTAAAAAACAAGCTACTTCTGGTAAAAGATTTCACAGGATCCCTTGGCAGTGTTCTTGTCCAGTGAGCAGAAAACGATGCCTTAAGTTAGAGACTTAGGAATTTACTACTGAAATTATTTTTTGAGAAAATAAAATAGTACAATTGGATGTCAGCAATTAATATCAGAAAGCTAGATTAAAAATAAGGAAATATTTCAGATAGGCCCTTAATACTTCTTCCTTTTTATTGTCTTTTCAGACAAATGGCCATGGAAACAATTGAATCCCAGCAGGATGGAAGTGTAACAGATTCTGTGGCAGAGAATGAATCTGCTCATATGCAGACTCAGACTGGTCAAAATTCAATTCCTACTTTAGCTCAGGTAAATTCAATTTAGGTAATAGGCAGGCTCTGATAAAAGTGAAAATAATGGAAATTAGAGTTAAGTACAGATACTCTTTTCCTTGTAGTTTATCTTCTAAGTTTTCCACCTTCTCAGGTTATCAGCCATCTTAATTGATTGGATTTTGAAGAGAAGAAACCGTTTATAATTACTTTTGCTTTTTAGCAATACTTTGCAGCACCCTACCACCATCACCAGGAAAAAACAAAAAAAAACCATTCTATGCTATGTTAGCCTCACATTTCTAGTTAAGATGGTAATTCTAGATGGTTACAATTTCATCTTCTTAGCTATAAAGAAGTGTTACCATTTGCCTAGTATCTACTTGGACTTTATATTTGCTTTCTTTTCAACTAGGTCTAAAGTTTTACATTAGAATAATAGAGTACTACTGTAGATTATTCACTGTTTTTTTACTCCTAAAATTTATTTCTAAGATATCTATAAAAATATGTAGTAAAGAGAAACACTTATGTGGTGGTTTATTTATACCTGATATAATAATAATCGAGTCCTCAAATATTTATTGTGTACTTACTGTGTGCTAGGTACACTTAACAGGTACAGTATTTCGCTGTAATCCCAGTAGCGAAATGAGTGCTATAAGACATTATGTACAAAATGATTAAAGAGTATAGCAGAAAGAGCAGCCAGCTGACAAGGAGTACTTTGCAGTGGTTTATCATTTGGACTATACATAAAGGAAGACTCTTGGTATGATGCTGTAGGATAAGCACTGGACTGCTAACTGCATGGTCAGTTGTTTAAATCCACCAACTGCTCCTTGGCACCCCTCCACAGAGTCACTATGAATCAGAACTGACTTGATGACACTTAACAGCACCATGATGGAGCTTGCCATCTGGATAAGGGGACAGAAGCAGGTTCTAGGGAGAGGGAAGAGCATATGTAGAGGCACAAAACCAGAATATGGGATGTTTTGAGAATTACAGTTATGAAATCTAACTGGACCCCAGTGTCTGCTGGGAAGTATAGCTGGTATAGTAAGCAGAGTTTAGAGTATCTTGTAGTAGTAAGGAACTATGGTAATTTTGTAGACTACTCACTGTTTCTAGAATGTTAGTAAGCATGTGGAAGAGGCACCAGAAGTCAGCAAGCCTGTCACTAGATACCATTTGAGTGGCTTTGTAGTAGTGGTGGTAGTACTGTGGTAATAAAGAGGAGTAGTGAAATTCCAGTGAAAGACTGAAAGGCTTTCCCCACCGGAGGCCTAGGAAGAGTGTTGGTTAAATCTCAGGGCAGGACTCATTGCTAGCAAATGGACTGTATTTGCTTTTCTTTCCTCTTTCAAGCTGCCAGCACCCACTCACTTCCTAGATGTTTTCTCCTCACATGTATTCCAAGGAGAAACATCTCCTGGTACTACCTTTCTTTGTTGCTGTGAAAGATAAACATGCAGATCTTTTGCTTAAAGAAAAATAAAAAATGCAACCTTTTCCTTATTCAAAAACTGTATGTTCATTGTAGAAAAATTGCAATATATATATTGTTAAAAAGAAAAAATATAAATATGTTTACATTCATAGGACTATAGAAATCATAAAGAAAATTAAAATGTATTTAGATTAAAAATAAAAAATAAGGAAAATCTAAATATATTTAGATCCAAATATTTAGTCATTGCTAACATGTAGATTTATAGCCTTTATACTTTTTGTCAGTGTGAATTAGATAGGATGGGATATAGGAAAGGATGGAATGGGCAGGGAAGGGTTGGGATGGGAATGAATGAATAGACTAGAAAGCAACGTCTACTTTTTCATGAGTGTAGAATCCTCAGCGTTTTTGTACCCAGGATCCCTGGCTTATAATTCTGCCTTTCTTGGGCTTAAGTTATAAATCTTCCTTCTGTATCCCTTCCCTTCACGTTAGGTACCAGCTCACAGATGTTTTCCATTTAGGCCTTTTTCCCTCAGCCTGCCAGCTACACAGTCATAACACTCGACTCTCATTATCAGAAGATACTGATGTGTACTTTTGAGGACTTTTAGGCTGAGTGACACCCAGTCCTGTGAGGATTAGTCAGAAGTTACTATGAGGTCGAATAGTATGACGTTCTGCAAAGTAGCTCCGGGGTTTATGAGGTTTTTGGTTTGAATTTTGGATGTTAGTAAGTTGGAGAATAGAGGGAATACCGTAAAATCGATTCTGACTCATAGCAACCTTGTTATAAGGTTGTAATTCTTACCAGGAGCAGCAATCCTCAGCTTTCTACAAGGAATGACTGACTGGTGGGTTTGAACTGCCAACCTTGTGGTTGTGGTTGTTAAGTGCTTTCAAGTTGGTTCCGACCCATAGCGACCCTGTATAGGGTTTCTGAGGAGTGACTGGTGAGCTTGAATTGCCGACCTTGCAGTTCAAATGGCTTTGCAGTCTGGCGCATTAGCCCACAGTACCACACCAGGACTCTGACCTTGTGGTTAGCAGTCCAGAATGTATTTTGGAAAAATAGATTCCTCAGGATATTTAGCTGTGAAATAATAGAGAAAGATTGAGTTGGTGAGGGAAAGGAGTTAAGAATTTCAGTGTAGGGAAGTCCGTGTAATACTTTGAATAAAATCTAGAGGGGGAGATAAAATTTTTGAGAAGATTAAATGTGGCACTGCAGGATAAGCACTGAACTGCTAACCTCAAGATTGGTGGTTCAAACCTACCATATACTCCTTGGAAACTCTGTATAGGATCGCTGTGTGTCAGAACTGACTCAGTGACACTTAACAACACAACTGGCATTTTGGTTGGCTAAGAATTATCCTCTATGCCATACATATAATAAGACTTTTTCAAAAAATAATCTGCCAATTAAAAAACAAATCAAAACTTTCATAGAAGCTTTTATTCAATAAGAAACGGTGGAGCGCTCTGATAATAGAATCTAGCCGTGCCTTCAAGAATTAGGGAAAAGTGTATTTTGTATTGTTTTTCATTAGAAACTGAGAGTAAATAAAGCTAGAATAAAACCAGTGGTAGGAGATGGGATGTGTGGGTGACATGATCAGATGATCAATCAGACTGTTTTATGCTGAGGCCGGCCTGTTCTCCAGGAGGGACCCTTAAGGAGAGTTAGTGTGTGGGCTCAGGCTGAGTGAGAATGGACCATAATTCAGGGACTTGGGGAAAGGAGAGAAGCTTAATCAAAGTTTAGTTAGAAAGAGTGTTTCTGATTGATCAGGTGAACAAGCAATTCAGTTACTCATTTATGAGGCAAGAAATGGGCATTTGGAGGGTTTGTCTCTGGCCTTGTGATAGGTAAACAAGGGGTCATCCCTGAGTCTAAGGCACATGGGAAGTCTTATCTGAGTCATATATGAGAAGGTTAGTTATTTCCAGTAAGCATGTTTCTGAACACAAAGGGTGAAGAGATTTCTTTAACCACTGCTGTTTTCCAATATCACAGGGTTCAGATAAAATTCAGCATTAGCATAGAATGCAGTTCTTAGCTGTCAAAATTTTCTAATTGTTATTACTTATTTAGGTTCTTGGGAGGCCTGAAGCTGTCCATTTATAGTATTCACATGGTTATACAATATGATGTATCTAGAAGAAATAGAAAATCAAACTCAGTCCTTTTAACCCTATTTATGAGGATAAGTCAAAAAGTTATGCTACTAGGGTTCTAGATCATATGTTTATTCAAAACAAAATGTGTCTAAACATGTCTCTGAAATCAGTGGATGACTGCAGACAAATTTTCTGAGTAATACACATGTCTATGTCTCCTTAGGGTACCTCCAAAAAAAAGGTCCATTCAGAACAGTAGCTTCCAGTAGGGTCTGCAGTGCCAGTTAAATTTAAGACAGGGAAGACATTTACAGTGACATTTTTTGGGATTCCCAAGGGGTAATCTTGATAGATTTTCTCAAAGGACACAGAACAATCACAGGACTTAATAAGTTTTTTTAATAAAAGGAAAAAATATGTATATAAGAAAATGGAATATTGCTTTGGTGAAAAAAAGACCAGGAAAATTGGAATTTCTTTCTATCACAATAGTGTACTTGCTTGTCTTCACGGCTAGCAAGGGCTGTCTTCTGAGAATTTATTTCATTGGGAAACCTCCCCAACTGACCCTACAGTCCTGATTTTGCCCCTTCAGGCTTCTTTTTGTTAATAAAATTCAAAGCACATTTCAGAGGAACATGATTTGAATCCCTCAAGGATGCCAAAACCACTCTTTGGACCTGGTATAACTAGAAGAGTATAGAATGCTTTGGGGAAGGGTTATTCTTGTATTGTTGTTGTTAAGTACTGTTGAGCCTTGAGTCGTTTCTGACTCATAGCCGCCCTGTATTGGATTTCTGAGGAGCGGCTGGTAGGTTTGAGCTGCCAACTTTGCAGTTACCAGCCCAGTATTTATCCTATACCACTACACCAGGACTCCTGGAGAAGAGTTGTTTTTGTTAAGTATTGTCGAGTCGGTTTCGACTCATAACGACCGTGTATAGGGTTTCCAAAGGGCAGCTAGTGAGTTTGGACCACCATGGTTCAAACTGACCTTGCAGTCCAGTGTTTTATCCCATAATGCCACACCAGGGAGGAGTTGTTGTTAAGTGCCATCTAGTCAGTTCCGATCCATAGCAACCCTGTATTGGGTTAAGAAGGAGCAGGTGGCGAGCTTGAACTGCCGACGTTGTTCAAACCAACCTTACAGTCCAGTGCATTAACCCACAGTGCCACACTAGGACTCAGGGAAGAGTTGGCCGGTTGGCTAAGTGCCGTGGAGTCGGTTCCAACTCATAGCGACCCCGCATAGGGTTTCTAAGGCTGTAAATCTTTATGGGAGCAAAAAGACTCCTCTTTGGAACAGCTGGTAGTTTTGAACTGCTGACCTTGAGGTTAGCAGCCTGACTCATAACCACTATGCTACCAGAGGTCCTTCGGGGAAGAGTTAGATGGAAATACCACCTCCAGCAGTGTATAGACCTCCTTGGAGGATATATGAGGAAGCAATAGCTTCA